TGTTAAAAAAGATCATTCTAGGAACATACCATTCAAGATTTAACCCACAACATACAGACATTTCAACAAAGAAAAATAGTTACAAGACCAAAAAAAGTTAAGTTTTGAACTAGGCATGTGGCCTTCAAAGTCTATAGCTCTCAGCATTCAACATTCCATCTTAATCCAAATATCCAGATCACATCAGAAACTAGAATCTGCATTTCCATACAAAAGAGCAGGTTGGAAATACTTTGACCTCTCTTGTAATGTGTTTTTCTTGCTTAGAGCACAAAGCTAACAGCTTTCACTGAAGTACCAGATTTGAGGTGCAGCCTCTCACATACTTACGTGTATCTTCTCTATTTAATGCTTGTTCAAGCTGCTCAGCCTCTTTCTCCAAAGTGACAGCTAAAGCACGCAGTTTGCTGAAGAAACTTCCTGTCACCTCCATGATGAAGAAAATCACTAGAGAAAACAAGGGAAACACCTATCAGCAACTTAATAGTTAACATTTACATAGGCCATCTCTTGCACCAGCTACCCAGAGCTAACGAACTACAGCATGAAGCACAGCAGTGGAGTATGAGAGGAAATTTTACTCATGAATACCACAGGAAAACCGTACTCTTACAAAGTGCCATAACTAATTTCAAGAGACAAGGTGGGTGAGGTAATATCTTTTATCGGACCAACTTCTGTCGGGGAGAGAGACAAGCTTCAGGTCCTGAAGAAGAGCTCTGTATAGTTTGAAAGTGTCTCTCTCCCCAACAGAATTTGGTCCAATAAAAGTTATTACCTCACCCACCTTGTGTCTCTAATATCCTGGGACTGACTGACATGGCTACAAACTACACTGCATATAAGTGGCTTAAGGTCATCTCTGAAAGATGCAACTGTATAGAACTCCATATATCCACTAAGACAGGGGGTACCAAAGTGTGAGCTTGTTGGAAATGGGATGCCAAAAAACTAAAAAGTGTTTCAGTCTCAAATGAACAGACGTTGCATGCAGTGCAGAGCTCCAGAATACACCCATGAAACAAAATGCACTCTCCTGGCCATATTAACCCATGATGGTGAATAACATCACCAGCCACACTGGCATAAAGTTCTACTTAGCAGTGTATTTGCACTGAGGCTGGGCAGATGGGTGCTGTACTCTCATGTGGCACCAAGCTGGCTGGCTTCCTGCTATGCCTAGCCTTAGGTTGTACCTGTGATGCTGTATACTAAGGAAGATAACTAGTTACACTAATACAGTGACCACTGTTACAAATTGCAATAAATTCTGTACAAAGTACGTCATGTATCAATGGAAAAGTTATATGTTTAGTATACTATTAATTTAGGCTTAAATAGAGACTGGGAGTGGCTAAGTCATTATGCAAGGTAGCCTGTTTCCTCTTGTTTTTTCCTACCCCCCCCCCCAGATGTTCTGGTTTAACTTGGATTTAAACTTGGAGAGTGGTCAGTTTAGATGAGCTATTACCGGCAGGAGAGTGAGTTTGTGTGTGTATGGGGGTGGGGGGGATGTGAGAAAACCTGGATTTGTGCAGGAAATAGCCCGACTTGATTATGTAAAGAGTTGTCACTTTGGATGGGCTAGCACCAGCAGGAGAGTGAATTTGTGTGGGGGGGTGGAGGGTGAGAAAACCTGGATTTGTGCTGGAAATGGCCCACCTGATGATCACTTTAGATAAGCTATTACCAGCAGGACAGTGGGGTGTGGGAGGAGGTATTGTTTCATATTCTCTGTGTATATATAAAGTCTGCTGCAGTTTCCACGGTATGCATCCGGTGAAGTGAGCTGTAGCTCACGAAAGCTCATGCTCAAATAAATTGGTTAGTCTCTAAGGTGCCACAAGTACTCCTTTTCTTTTTGCGAATACAGACTAACACGGCTGTTACTCTGAAACATGTTTAGTATGATTATTCTGTTTAAATTCAGGTATCGTCATTGTATCTGAAGTTATGAAATAGGCAGTCCTCGACTTTACGACATTCGACTTACGATGAATGGCACTTACGTTTCTGAATTGACACCCTGAGTCAACTTATGACAATTGGTTTTGACTTTACGACGCTCGGTCCCACAATGGAGTGTATTGCAGTTCCGAGTTACAATGCAATTTACAAGAACCAATTGCGTCATAAGTCTGAGGACTGCCTGTATTATACAACCCCAGGAGGGGGGCCAGAAGCCTGAGCCCACCTGAGCCCCACTGCCTCAGGTGGGATGGGGGCAAAGCCCAACCCCTACCGCTATAGGTAGAGCGGGAAGTGGAAGCCCAAGGGCTTCAGCCCCATACAGGGTGCCTGTAACCTGAGCCCCGTCACCCAGGGCTGAAGCCCTCAGGGTTGGGCTTCAGCCCTGGGCCCCAGCAAGTCTAAGGCAGCCCAGGCGACCCCATTAAAATGGGGTCACGTCCCACTTTGGGGTCCCGACCAATCGTTTGAGAACTGCTGGGCTATGTGTTTGTATATCAAGTATGATTTGCTCTTGGGTGACACCCACAGGGCAAATTTACATCCATACTAGCCATCCCTGTGCTGATGGGCCATTGAAGAGACTCAGCTCACCCAGTGAGCCTCTCCTGGAGACATTTCAGAAAGCACCAGACAATGGCTGCCTCATGGTTCAGTGAGGCATGAAGGACGTGATCTAAGACTCCCTCTTTTTGCCAGTAACTTTCCACGCACATGGGCTTAGGGTATAAAATAGGAGCCTGTGACATCACTGTTTTGTCTTCTTTCTTGCTCCACTGCTCTAGATTGTGATTTCTAATAAGTAACCTTTGGAAAAACACTGATGATCCCCAATCTTTTTAGGTGATCCAGGGAGTTTTATTGCACGCTAGCAGAATCACCATCTCTGCTATTATCCTGACCTACAGACTCTGAAATCAAATGTATGTAACCTTTAACCATTTAATAACTCTTTTCTTTTCTATTAACAAACAGTTTTTAGTTCAGTAAAGCTGCAGTGTGGTATTTGGTAAGATCCTAAAAACATATATTGAGCTGTGGAAGGTGGCTGGTCCATTGGGATTGGAAGAACTTCATATGTGATTTCTAGTTTTAATAATCATTCATCACAAAAATCCAGTTGTCTGGGTGGTAAGTCAGGGACTGGAATGCCTAAGGAAACTGTGTTTTGGCTTCTTGATAACTAGTGTGGTGGTACAGGAGTCACTGTTGTTAACTGGCTTGGTGAAATCTTATTCTAGAATATACCACCAGTTAGGAGCGTGTCTGCTCTGTTTCTGGACATCTGTCCTCAGTTTGGCAGTCTCAGTGGTGACCCATACCAAACACAGTGACAGTACCAAACTGCACAGCTTGAGCTACTGAGGTGAACTTATGAAGTTCCATGTCATGCTGCTAGTGCTCCTCTCACCCAAAAAAAGACGCATACAGGGACAGCTCAGAGCAGCTGCAAAAATGTGCAGCTGCAGAGAACTCTGACAGCAAAGGGCTCCCACACAGAAATCCACTGTAGAAGCCACAACAGGGCTGGAAGACTAGGGACCCATGGGAAATTTCCTCCTATCCCCCCAGGGGAATTGGGCAGGCGGGGAGAGAAGGGTGGTCAGCAAATAAAGGCTGGCTATAAAATTAAGGAAAGCCACCTAGCTCTCCGGCTAAAGAACTAGCTAGCTGCAATTCCAGCCTCCTCCCAGCAGGGGGAACAGCTGTGCAATTTAGGCAGCAACTGTAGCCAGGGGCCCAGTTTACCAATAGGCCAGATGAGAATTAGCAGGAATTTAGTTTAAATGTAAATTAGACAAGTTAAAGTCAAGCCATCGACAGCAGTCCAGCGGCACATAGGGGGCATGGATCATCACTGACATCGCAATCCCTGTTAATACCCAGCCTGGGGAAGCTAATGAGCCAACCAGTGGACCCAATTCGGTGATGAATCCTAGTCATGTGCCACCTGAGGCCTGTTATGCGTAGGCGAAGAAGAAAAAGCCACACAGATGAGGATGTCAGGTCCGACCCATTTCATGGGTGTTTCTCAAGTTACAAGACACACAGTACCAGCGGCAGCTCCACAGTGTTTCTTTTTGACAGACTGTCTAGAAAGTGGAGGTGTTTAAAGAGGTTGTTATAATCACACATTTAATGCTTCCTGAGGCATTTATTTTACTGAGTCCATAAGTACTTAGGCCAATTAAGGCGCCCCAATAAACGCACCCAGAGAGGAGCACTGTGCACCTGGCATTTCACACACCAGTTGCGGGAGAACTGGGAACGCTCCCAGCGGGAAAAGCACAAATGTCCTGGGATTTGTGTATCTGCAATGACAGCGAATCCAGAGGTTTCAGCGCTTACACCCAGGCCCCTTTGCCCTCCGGATGCCAGTGGTATGCTCGATAGGGACACTGCCCGACCGGGTGGCACGTACTATCGGAGATGTTGGGGGCGCACTAAGGTATGGCGCGAATTAAAGTAGTTTCGGAGCCCTGCAGAGGGGGCTGGGCGAATGCAACCCCCCCCCCCCCCACCCACACACCCCCGGCCTATGCCTGTGGGGGAGCTCAGGTAAGGCAATAATCCCCCCCTCCCCCCGCATGTATCTGTCTGTCTGTCGGGGGGGGGGGGCGAGGGGACGACTCCACTAATGCAATCACACCCACCCCTCCCCTCCGCGCGTATGGGTGGGGGAGTCAGGGCTCAGCTAACGACCCCGCCGGGCCCCAGCACTCCCCTCCTCGCAGTGTCTGCGCCCGCGCCGGTCGGACTGTCTCCCGGCTTAGCTCGGCGGCAGTAGGGCCCGGCAGCCCGGACACAGGGCAGAGACGAGGCGCCCCAGCCCCACCCGACAGCGCGCGGCAGAGCCGTTACCCGCCGCCGCTCCCGGTTTGCTCGCCCGGGTCCGTCCCCTGCGGCTGGAACAGAAACCAGAACTCCCGCCGCCGCCGCCGCCGCGCGCTGTGTTTGAAAGCCCGAGCAGAACCAACCCCATTGGGCGCGGCCAGGCCCCGCCCCTCCCCTCCCGCTGAGGCGCTCCTAGTCTCGCGATAGAAGCGAGCGTCGGCGGCCCGCGTCGCGCTTGGGGTAGCTGCGCCGTTGCCGTCTTGTCTGCGGCCCACGCGGAAGTGACCGGGCTGCGGTGAACTGAAGCCCGGGGCCGGGGCCGGACCTCGCCTTAGGGTAAAGGGCTCCAGGCGCGGACAGCCCCGGGCCTGCCACTCCCTAGCTCGCGCGGCCCGGCCTGTGCCAGCCCGCAGCCATCCCCGCTGCCTCCTACGCGGCTGCGGCCCCCGCGCGGAGCCCTGGCCCCCGCCGGTTCTAGCGTGATGCCCCGCAGCTCCGGCTCGGCGGGCGAGTAGCCTCCCCCCGCCCCGGCCGGGCCTCCTGAGCCCCGGCTTCCCCTGCCTCCGGGGCCTTAACACGTGGCCGCTGAGCCGCTCTGTGGGGCGGGGTCCTAGTCGCACAGCGCCGTGGGGAGCGTAAGCTGGGCCCCCGCAAGCGACGCGACTCAGCGCCGCGGGGTGCGAGGCTACGCCCCTGGGCACGCGAATCCCGCCCGTGCCAGAAGGCGGCGACTCCGGCGAGGATTTAAGGGGGGCAGCGAAGCAGCAATTCAAGATGAGCGCCTAGTGTACGGCTGCGGCAGAGCGGGCTGCGGCAAGCTTTGAACGTGTAAATGCCCCTTTCCCGGCATTGGGGAGACTGATACTGGAATCTAGTTCAGGGGCCCCCGTAGTCAAAAAGTTATTGGAGAGGATGCACAGAGCCAAAAAATGATGAAAGGGTGGGGAAGAGTGCTTTACAGTTAGAGACTTAATGTTTAGCTAAATTAAAAATCAATAAATACATTAAAAATCAGGAGGTGAGTTGACGGTGGTGTGTAAGTACCTAAATACCAGGTACTAAAAAGTTCTTTTACAAGAACCAAAGAGTGGAAGGTAATGCTGGACAAATATCCATTAGAAATAAGGCATATAATAAACAGGGAGGATGATTAACCACAGAAAGTGGTGGATTATATGTCTGTCTTCACATTAAGACTATCCCGGATGCCTTTCTGAAAACATGCTTTAGTCAAACAGACGTTATTGGCCTGGATGCGGGGATAACTGGGTAGCCTGTGTTGTACAGGAGATCAGATTAGAATATCTAATGATCCATTTTGACCTTTTAAAAAAAATCTGTGAAACTCTGATGCATCCATCACCATAGAATCTGTCTGAATGCTGGTTATTTCAGGGTGGCAAGTTTGTAAATGTTCAGCTTTGTAACACTTTACTCTAATACAGTGTTTCACAGATTCCAACCAGCGTGTTGGACAGGTGTGTCCTGGAATTTTTTGAAAAAGTAAATGTGAGAACAAGGAGTGGGGGGGAAAGCTGCCTTCTGACTGGCTGTTTGTCTGTCTCACTGCCCTACCTCCTTCAGGGGCAGAGCAACCAATCAGAGCTCAATCTCCCTCTCTTCTACTCTCCCCTCCTCTGCCCTTTCTCTCCTGCAGCCATTGGCCGGTGGAAGAGCCCCTGGAGCTCAAGGTGTGCTGCTGCAGAGTAAAGGTTGGGAAAGGCAGAGAAAAGGCTGCTCTAATAGCTTAAAAGTGTTTTGCGCAAGTGTTTTAATTGTACAGAAACTTGTGTTATTTCTAAGATGGCTTTAATGATTCATAATAAATTAAAAAGCTTATATATAATCTTATTTATTTTAAGGTAATGTTTCTGACCACAGCACTGCTCAGAAAAAGGATTCCTGGGAAACAATGGATTGGAAAATACAGAAGACCAAGAGTGGTTACTCTTTCAATGAAGCGTTCAATGATTCAAAGGCTGGAAGTTGAAGCCGAGAATGAATATTGGCTGAGTCGACCATACATGACACCAGAGCAGGAATATAAACATAATGCAGAGCGGAGACTTGCAAAGTGGGAGACCTTTAAAAGCCAGTTGATATCTAAATTTCCTGAACATAGATATGTTGCGGATCATTTAAACCACTTGAATGTGACTAAAAAATGGACACACTCTTAAATCATATCTGTTTACTTTTTGGCATATTTGCAGTGGTCTACCATCTGATCTGTTGCAGGCTGTTCAATACCTGTTATTGAAAATTTTGTAGTGGGTATAAAAATGTGGGGATAAGGATGTGAATCAGATGAACATTTGTCTTCTCTTAATATATGTAGAGTTAATGACATTAAAATCAAGCATACAGGGAAAAATGTGAGGTTTCTTTCCTTAATCTTAGCTCACTACACAGTGAAAGCTTTCCATGCATCTCCAGTGTATGCCTATCTTCTGTTACAAAGAAGGGGTTTTGTATAGGGCCATGCTGCATTTGGGCAGTGGGAGTTGCTGTAAGGCAATTGCTGTTGGGTAACGGGAGTTGGGCAGGGTCAGTGTAAACGAGTATTTTTCTTCACAAGCGTCCTCCTCAAAATTGGGGGAAAAGCAATCTTAGTAGGTTACCCAGTATTATTGTTGGTGTTTTCCTACCAACTCACTCTGCTTTCTTATGAAATGAACATGAATAACTGATGTGGGCATGAGATGGTCTAATTATGCTAGTCTGGGCAGATTGATATGTAAGAATAATAGTATCTGTGCCAAAAAAAAATTCTCCAGATTAAAAAATAATCTGGAGAAACAAAAGGCATTGAGGCCATGTTCGTATTAAGAGTTTCTCATAACTAAATGTAAGGATTCAGTCATACTTATGGGTATGTTTTATTAGACCCATCTCTTCCCAGAACAGCATCCCATGGTCGAGGAAGCCGAAGTCCTCTTGTCCACACCATCTATGCAGCAATGCATTTATATCCAGGATGTATGTGCCCCTGTCCGGGCCTTTACTCTCAACTAGGAGGATGTATGAGAATACTATCTGCACACGCAACTTCTTCCCCCTCACTCCCACAGCCTTGTAGTCATAGTCCTTTCACATATTTGCTTTCATGGTGTTGCTGTCTGGTCTGGTTTTCCTTAACTTAAATTACAAATGCTCCAGGGCAGGGATTCTTATATTGTGTGAACCCATTTTTTTCTACAGTGAATTTTACTCGTGAAATTTTTGGGCATTCTGTGCCAAAAAATTAAAAATTATGCACACAATATTTTAAATTTTTTCAAATTTTGTCAATAAATAAATGCAGAGGCTCCAGCATGGCAGGGGGGAGCACAGGCCACTGGCTGTATTAAGGTGGGAGATCACCCTGTAGCCTCCCCACCCGGGACATGGACTCAGTGGTGAGACCACACCCAACCCTGACACAGCACAAGGCCGGGGCCTGTGCCAGAAACACCCTGGGGCCCCGCTCCTCTGCGCCAGGAGTGGGGCAGGCACAATCCAAGTATGGAGGGGCTCTGTGTGTGGTGAGGATTCTTTTTTGTACAGTCTGGGTACAGGCAGTTCAGTAGGGGGATCTGGATGCAGAGGCTTTTGGGGGGTTGGTTCCAGGTGTAGGGGCAATGGGACTCAGCAGGGGGATCTGGGTGCTGTGGATGCTTGGAAGGGGTCTAGGTGCAGCTAGTTAGGGGGCAGTGACAATGGGGCTTGGATGTGGAGGCTCAGGGTCGTATGGGGGGCTCACTGGGGTTTGAGTGCAGGGAGCTCTGGGGGGTGGTCTGGGTGCAGGGGGGGTCTAGATGCAGGGGTTGAGGTTCAGTGGGGGGGTTCAGGTATGGAGGGTTCTGGGTGTACAGTGTGAGGCTTGGCAGGAGTGTCTGGGTATGGGAGGTCCAGCTGCATGGGGGGAACAGCTCCCCATATAGTGACCCCTGCACCTGAGGAGTAACTTGAAGGGGAAAGGAGTCCAGGAGAGCTGGCTGTATTTCAAGGAATCCCTGTTGAGGTTACAGGGACAAACCATCCCAATGAGTCGAAAGAATAGTAAATATGGCAGGCGACCAGCTTGGCTTAATGGTGAAATCCTAGCGGATCTTAAACATAAAAAAGAAGCTTACAAGAAGTGGAAGGTTGGACATATGACCAGGGAAGAGTATAAAAATATTGCTCGGGCATGTAGGAATGATATCAGGAGGGCCAAATCGCACCTGGAGCTGCAGCTAGCCAGAGATGTCAAGAGTAACAAGAAGGGTTTCTTCAGGTATGTTGGCAACAAGAAGAAAGCCAAGGAAAGGGTGCGCCCCTTACTGAATGAGGGAGGCAACCTAGTGACAGAGGATGTGGAAAAAGCTAATGTACTCAATGCTTTTTTTGCCTCTGTTTTCACTAACAAGGTCAGCTCCCAGACTGCTGCGCTGGGCATCGCAAAATGGGGAAGAGATGGCCAGCCCTCTGTGGAGATAGAGGTGGTTAGGGACTATTTAGAAAAGCTGGACGTGCACAAGTCCATGGGGCCGGACGAGTTGCATCCGAGAGTGCTGAAGGAATTGGCGGCTGTGATTGCAGAGCCATTGGCCATTATCTTTGAAAACTCGTGGCGAACGGGGGAAGTCCCGGATGACTGGAAAAAGGCTAATGTAGTGCCAATCTTTAAAAAAGGGAAGAAGGAGGATCCTGGGAACTACAGGCCAGTCAGCCTCACCTCAGTCCCTGGAAAAATCATGGAGCAGGTCCTCAAAGAATCAATCCTGAAGCACTTGCATGAGAGGAAAGTGATCAGGAACAGCCAGCATGGATTCACCAAGGGAAGGTCATGCCTGACTAATCTAATCGCCTTCTATGATGAGATTACTGGTTCTGTGGATGAAGGGAAAGCAGTGGATGTATTGTTTCTTGACTTTAGCAAAGCTTTTGACACGGTCTCCCACAGTATTCTTGTCAGCAAGTTAAGGAAGTATGGGCTGGAAGAATGCACTATAAGGTGGGTAGAAAGCTGGCTAGATTGTCGGGCTCAACGGGTAGTGATCAATGGCTCCATGTCTAGTTGGCAGCCAGTATCAAGTGGAGTGCCCCAAGGGTCGGTCCTGGGGCCGGTTTTGTTCAATATCTTCATAAATGATCTGGAGGATGGTGTGGATTGCACTCTCAGCAAATTTGCGGATGATACTAAACTGGGAGGAGTAGGATAGGATACAGAAGGACCTAGACAAATTGGAGGATTGGGCCAAAAGAAATCTGATGAGGTTCAATAAGGATAAGTGCAGGGTCCTGCACTTAGGACGGAAGAACCCAATGCACAGCTACAGACTAGGGACCGAATGGCTAGGCAGCAGTTCTGCGGAAAAGGACCTAGGGGTGACAGTGGACGAGCTGGATATGAGTCAGCAGTGTGCCCTTGTTGCCAAGAAGGCCAATGGCATTTTGGGATGTATAAATAGGGGCATAGCGAGCAGATCGAGGGACGTGATCGTTCCCCTCTATTCGACATTGGTGAGGCCTCATCTGGAGTACTGTGTCCAGTTTTGGGCCCCACACTTCAAGAAGGATGTGGATAAATTGGAGAGAGTCCAGCGAAGGGCAACAAAAATGATTAGGGGTCTAGAACACATGAGTTATGAGGAGAGGCTGAGGGAGCTGGGATTGTTTAGCCTGCAGAAGAGAAGAATGAGGGGGGATTTGATAACTGCTTTCAACTACCTGAAAGGGGGTTCCAAAGAGGATGGCTCTAGACTGTTCTCAATGGTAGCAGATGACAGAACGAGGAGTAATGGTCTCAAGTTGCAGTGGGGGAGGTTTAGATTGGATATTAGGAAAAACTTTTTCACTAAGAGGGTGGTGAAACACTGGAATGTGTTACCTAGGGAGGTGGTAGAATCTCCTTCCTTAGAGGTTTTTAAGGTCAGGCTTGACAAAGCCCTGGCTGGGATGATTTAACTGGGAATTGGTCCTGCTTCGAGCAGGGGGTTGGACTAGATGACCTTCTGGGGTCCCTTCCAACCCTGATATTCTATGATTCTATGATTGATTCTATGATGGGGGCAGGATGCTGAGCTTTCTGCAGCTGGAGGAGGTTGCTAGGGGTGGGTCTGACAGCCCCAGCCACACTTTGCAGGGGGCGTCCCATCTGCTCCTGGCTCAGGGTAGGAGCCGTTGACTGGGGTGTCCTCAGCCCTGTGGTGATTCATGTCTCTGCCAGCTGCTCCAGGTGCCAGAAATGATGTACCTGTGCAACTGGGGAGTGGTGCGTGACTGCTCTTGCAGCTTCCCTGTCAAAGTCATTTTTCTGCAGGAAGTAAAGAAATCTTCAGGGGATATGAATTCTGCGCACATGCAGTGGCGCAGAATTCCTCCAGGAGTATAAATTTAAATGACCACTATTACTAAGCTTTAATTACTATTTGTTATGTTGTTATAGTACCTGAAACACCAAAAGGCCAAATTGTACTATCACATCATAATGACCCTAGTACTGGCAAGGGGCACAATAAATTAACTAGTATAAGTAGCTGAAAGCCATCATACACTTCCTTTTAAAACTGAGTTTGTATTTCAGAATCAACCTGTTTAGTTTAATGTACAACAGCTGACCTATTGGTATATTTTCTTTCATAGGGATAAATTCTGTTCAAGAGGAAACAAAACTAATCATCAGTTGGACTAAACGGTGTCACAAAATAAGCCTCCAGCTGCTTAAGTTACACCCTCCCTCCCCCCAAAAAAGTGAAACAGTTGTTTTGAGTACCCTGTAGAAAATAGATTTGAGCTACCCTTGAACTATTCTGAATGCATATTTGTTTTAATTCTCTATAGTGGCAGCTCTGACTCTGAAATTTCAGAACCAGATTTTCCTTTAGACAGATCAGTATGATGATTAAAACAGGATGGGTCAGAACTAACAGTTACCATGTTGTCATTTGCTCCTGTTTTGGACTGTAAACCCTGTGGGGCAGTGTGTCTTATCGGTACTGTAAAGCACACCATGCATATGCCTGTCTCTAACAAAATTAGAGAGGAGAATTTTGTCTTCCCTTTACAAAATGTTTTAGATTTCCATCAACAGGTCAAACAAGCTTCCCTTGCTGCCACATAAATGCACACTTAAACAGTTTATTTTCAGAATATTTCACATTCTTTATTTAGTCACTTTTGCATTCAGTGAGGTCATGTCATAACTTAATATTTTACCACTTAGGAAAAGAGGGCCCCAAAAGGTGCAAGTTTTGCCTAAACCGTGAATTGTAATTTTAGATAAAATATGCAAGTCTGAACTTTGATTTACAAAAGTCTGAATGCAAACATTCAACATTAAGTAATAACCTAAGAGTACAGTGGTGGAAAATAATACACATATGGAGAAGTTACAAGGTATGATTAAAA